TTTACTCCTCAGGAATACAAAACAGTGTTTTTTTCTTCCCCTCTCTCAAAGAACTGACTTTACTATCGAAAGGGATACGCTAGAAACAATCCGGCACCCTTCTAACCCTTCTTTTGAGTGCCAAGATAAGCCGAAAAACACTCCAGCCTGCTAGAATCGATTGGACAGCTTAAAGGCCAACTCATTACCACTCCTTATGTCATCTTTTGCCTTCTCTAGCCGAGGCATCGTCAAGGCAAATACGAGCTCACCAAATGAAAGATCTAACTTTTTCATCTATTGTGCAAAAATCACCGCATACAATTAGGTTACATTATTCTACACCTTTAGGGTTTTTTATTTTTTATAATTTCAAGCTTATGTTATATTTTTAAAAGATTGTTTTTTATATTTCTTATTACTTTGTTGATGATACATTTATCACATGTCAACAAGAAAATTGCTATCCGGATATAAAAATTTCACTTTAAATCTTAAAATGTCTGGAACTGCCCCTGTCCTTCCTCTTGACCACCGGAAAACATCATACCCTAATGTTGGATGTTGAACCATACTACATTCCCTTTTTTTTTTGTTTTTTTTTTTTGGGCGGGGGGAATGAGTTGTGGCAGGTCGTAATCATTGCTTCTAATATAAAACCTCAACCCTANCTCCGGCGCCCTTCTAACTTGTTCTCTTTTGTCCCAGGAAATACCTTTCGCACGTACTGGATCGTTCCTCCTTTCCCAGGATCTCCCTGTGCCGTTTCCGGTTGCCACCGTACCTGNTTGTTCATTCTACTGGCATACTGCCTAATAACAACCTTGCCGTTGCTTATGATATTCTACTTCTTCTATGTGAAGAATTGGATAAAGATGACCAATTTTGTATCTACGTGACAATGATGGACGGACGCAACAATTAGCACTGTCAAGAGATTAGATTTCTAATGAATCTTATAATATTCCAATTTAGAAAATTCCATTACCACTCAATATGGTATAGTAATACACCAATACAAACTATTTATAACCATCTTGAATCTTAGTAGACCTAATTGTNCAGGGGAGAGATCTGTTCCCAATATTTTATATATCGTGCAGGATCAAGCCCGCACACAAACTATTTATAACCATCTTGAATCTTAGTAGACCTAATTGAGGGNTATGATGAAGACACGTGTCCTCGGGGGTTTCTAGAACAATGTTGCTCGGGTTCAAGCACCATCGGCAAAAGCGTCCTCTCCCCCGAGGTACCACTCATATAGGATCATATATTCGGTACATTATACAATGACATGTGCNGTGGGAGAAGTGGGGTGTCTTCCAAAATCGATGGAGGAGGAATGGCTCACATTTAGCTACGATTACCTGGATTTTAATGTCAATACGCTACTGAAATTAATTCTACATACCCGCACGGATGGTCCAATAGAGAATTGAACTCTAATGCACATTATAACCTCAAACGTACACCTTAAATTCGCCGCTTGTTGATAACTTTTGAATTTTATTTGTACATATAATTTAATTATAATTATAAATTTTTAATATTTGATATAAAGAGATAAATCTAATGTGCCGATCTAATTCATTGTCGTGGGAAAAAAATGAAAAAAAATGTAAATTCCAATTTAAAATTTTAGTTTGCCTTCCAAATGATTAATTTTTTCATATTACCCCTCAAAAAAATAAAAACGTTGTAATATGATTCATTGTCTTATTTTTTGTTTGGTCATCCGTTTATTTTGCATCAAATCAACTAATCAGAAAATCAAACATGTTTTTTTTTTTGCATGGGCACAAATTGATTGAGGAAAACCTATATCTCACTCTTCAATTTTGAGGCACTCACAGCTCAACTCTTGACGCCTATATCAATATGACGAGGCTTTTTTTTTTTTTTTGGTCTTTGCTACCACCACCACCACCAAATTGGGTTTTGTGTACATACACCTTCTTGAAAAGTACTTGGATTTGGTTGAGGAGGCATCCCATGTGTTTAGGCCCTTATCATCTCTCTCTCTCTCTCTCTCTCTCTCTCTCTCTCTCTCTCACACACACACACACACA